GTATTATAGCAGTGGAAGAATTAACAGAAGACAAAACAACTGCCTAATGCAAGAGGAAAGGATCCTCACTTTTTAAATCTCAACTGAAAAGCAAACCAGGTGTAGCCTCCTGAAAAATCCCTTCCTAAATACCTCTGCCCTGCTTGGCTAACAGGTACTTGTCATATGCCCCGCTACTCTCACTGGGCTGCAAATTCTATCAGAACAAGGAGGACCATGTCTTTCGTGTTCACCATTGTGTCACCCTCAGTGCCTGGTGGGAAACCAATGCTCCATGAACATTAATTTCAGAAAATGAGTAAGTGGTTGCAGTGGGTTGAACAGCATGCCCTTCAAATGTATGTCTGCCTAAAACTCAGACTGCGTCCTTATTTGGACACAGATACATTTGGAAATAGATACAAGTAGAGTTTTTACATATGTGAGTAGTCAAAATGACAGCAATGAGATTAGGGTGGGTCCTAAATCTGATATGACTGGTGCTCCTCAAAGAAAAGGAGAGGCTGCACAAAAGCAAAAAGGTTACCACGTGACAGTGAAGGCACAAGCTGGTGTGAAACCAAAGAACCGGGAGGATTTTTGGCAACCACCCAAAGCAAGAGAGAAGCAAGGAAAGGTTCCTGCCCAGAGCCTTCAGTGAGATCATGGCTTTTCCTGCATCTCCAACCTGCATTGATTGTGAGAATCAATTCCTGCCATTTAAAGCCACCCAGTTTGTGATACCTAAACTGCAGACACCCCCAGATAATCACTGGACAGTTGAATGTGCATTTGCAGGTAGTATAGAACTCAGACAACATATCATCACATTAATTACTTGAATTGGTGTCTTATAGACAATAAACGCATGTTCGATAATTTATTTTATAATGCAGCAAGGCCTTGTGTTCCTCCCTCTCTGACTAAGTTGATGTTTCTTTTAGTATTTATAATATTAACTGTCACTATTAAAACCTTTGTCTGCTGGACACATGGGGAAGGGCCTAGGCCTGGCCCAGGATGATGTAGTAGACTTTGGGGAGCCCCTTTTGAGGGCCTTACCTTGCCTGGGGAGTGGAAGGGGGATGGCTAGGGACAGGTGGGATGTTGGGGGGAGGGGAGAGAGAGGGAGAAGCAAGCTTGCTTCTTGTCATTGTCATCTGAAGCAAGCTTGTTCCTAATTTGAACTAATAAAGTAAAATAAAAATTTTAAAAAATACCTTTGTCTGACTACTACAAACAAACAAAAAAGTAAAAATGTTATCAAAGACAAATAAATTTGTACAAATTAACCCACCTATGGGACATTTCAGGGTGAAAGATCTCCGAAAAGGAAATCAGTCACAAAAAAAGAAGAAAGAAATCAGTCACTTAAGTTATTTCAGTGTTTCCAAAATTGTGAGCCAGACCACGTGTTTCTCATAGATAAAATTTTCTGCTGTTCAACAGCCAGGTCTCTGGAGATTTCGAAAATGTGAATAAAAGTCAGTAAAAACTGAGATAGCATGCCCATATGTTGTAATCCTATAATTCTAAATTTAAAAAAATAACTTATTTATTTACATTTATGTGCCTGCCTGAGTATTTGTGCACCATATGCTTGCATGTGCTCACAGAGGCCAGACGAAGGTGTCAGATTCCCTGAAACTGGAGTCACAGGTGGCTATGAGCCACTTGATATGTTCTGGGAACCAAACAAAGTCCTCAGAATAGCAGTAAGCACGCTTGTCCTCTAAGCCATCTCTCCAACCCTGAATTCTAGATTCTTTTGAACCACATTTAACCAGACACTGAACCTATTAACACTTCACAACTTCATAAATTCTCCCTTCTGTCTGCTTTTATTCTCTACTACAGCCATAAACAGCTCTTAATTAGAAAGCTATGTTTTAAAAAGAAAGGGAAGGAAGGAAGAAAACAGAACTCTTTCCAAGGTGGATTACTTTAATTCCCAAATTTACAATACGGAAATCAAGTTTATGAAGCTATGATTAATCTTAATATGGTATGCTTGCTGAGTTATGAGGTGTAGCTGAATGTCTACATTCATATACACACACACCCACTACAAAGTAAACGATTATACGGCAGTGTGTTTATGTAAATATGTCCATGAATAACAATAATAATCTTGGCGTTTATGAAGCTCGGTACTCAAATGAGTGATCGTCCTAGCCAAGTTCCAATTTCAAAAGTATTAAACTAACATGCAGGGAATTGACTCAGGATCAAGAAGCTGAAAGCCTGGGACAAGCCAGACTTCTGGTTCCTGGTTCACTGTATACTCCGCTACACTTCAACACCTCTCCCCAAAATCTAAGATGATCTTCTGTGTTTCTACATAAGGAAGTATTTTGGCTCTTTCGTTTGAAAAGTATCAAAGCTAGCAAAGCACAGGAGGTTAGAGAGTCCAATTTCAAACTAACTCTTCTATTAATTTCACCAGTGACTACAGAGAGAGAAGCATGATGTATCACAGCTCGAGATTTTGTTCTCATCGTTTTCTTTTTATGCGTTAAATCATAAGGACACTGCTGCAGCTCCTCTGACTCACACAATCACAAAGATTAGTGCTCATTTTCCACCAACGCAAAACCCCTGAAAACGGAAGAAAGTAGCATGTTCTTTGGGAGTATAGGGCACAGAGGTAATTGTTACCAAATGGAGAAGAAGGGTTGCTCACCCCTTGGTAAGGCTGGGTCTGCTCAATGCTAATGCTTTGAGCTAATGCTCAATGCTCAATGCTTCGGGCAATGGGCAACAAAGATCCATAGATCTGTGTGTGTTTGTGTCAATATTTGTGTGTAACATTTTTTCAGCATAATTCCCATTCACACCATTCTATCCTATTTTCAAGACTTGGGTCAGAATATACATGCACCCAAATTAGTCAATTAGATAATACCATCACTGTATGAACAAGAATAATATTATCCGATAGTGTTCCTCTGCATCTATGTGAACGAGCATTTGATTCCCGAGAAGATGGTTTCATCTTAAATGAATTTGGAAAAAAAAAAAAAGAGGGCAGGCTGCCTTTAAGGCATACGGGGATGGATGGTTAGTTTTACTGTGGTGCCCCCTAGTGCCAGGTGATATTCGGTTAATTTCTGTATTGCCAGTCTTGAGATTCCATGCAAGAAGAAAGATGTGGAGAATCATCAGGGTTCATAACTGCCCCATTTGGCATAAAATAGAATAAATCAAGTTTCCCAGAATGATTCACAAGCTCCTTTGTCATCCACGCCTGCCTAGATCTTCAGCTTCATCTCCTAGCTCCGTTCTCCATGAACATTCAATGTCAGCCATGATGAATGACTCGCTATTGTGCCCACCCTTCCCCATCCCTCCTGTCTGTGTAGGAAATTCTACTCTTTCCTCTAACATCAGTTGAATTGTGTTAGCTCTTCTCTCGGTTCTCCTGACTTCCCACACACATACCCAGACATCTTAGGCAACCTCTTCTCCCTCCACTCCTCTTCCTGTTGTCCCTTGAGCAAGTCTCCACATGGCTACCACCTTTTGGCTTCTCTTTAAATCTTGACCATGAATCCAAAGATTTTAAGACAAAAACAGTAACCTTCTCCAGTGCAATAATAATAATAATAATATAATTGTTATTATTATATTATTATTATCATTAAGCTTCAAACAGTACCCTATACAAAAAAATTACTCAGAAGTAATATAAGGATGTTTTAACTAATAAAAAGAATTCAAGTGCAGGAGTCAAAATTGTCTAGTTAATTAAGTATATAGGTATGAGCAATTTACCTGCCTTCTTTGGATTTTTATGTTTTTTATAAAAGACTGTGGCTAACACCTACTCAAAAACCCAGGGTCTTTGCGCCATTTCATTAATACCCACCATCAGAACCCCAAAAATCTTTATGATGAATTAATTCAATATTCCAGCTGTTCTTTTCTTAATTCTCAAGGAGTTTTTCAGAAAAATCAAATTCTACTTGCATTTGAAGTTATTTTATGCATATGGTTGAATAATTTCTAAGAAAAAGATACATGTAGATATTTAAATTAAGCTAATTCTAGACAAAGAGTTAAAGCAAATTCCTCTTTCCGGTATTTAACAATACAAAAATAAATTGTTGAAGTTATGATACGAGACATCACCAAGAAACTGAGTTCTAATTCTGTCTCTCCTTAACACAAACCACTTCTGCTTTTCCCAGCAGAAACAAGCAACAAGAAGGAGGGATTTGCTACGGAAAAAGTCCTCAACTCTAAAAAAAGGTCATGATAAAGGTGACACAGAACTTGGAAGACTCCAACAGCTCTAGAACACACAGATATAATTCACAAAAGCTTCTCACAGGCTGAGGAGGTAGTTCAGATTTTGATAAAGCATTTGCCTAGGAAATATGAGAACCTAAATCCAATCCCCAGAACTCACATAAAAATGCCAAGCATAATAGTGTGTGCTTGTAATCCCAGTGCTGAAAGGTAGAGACAGGAGGATCTCTGGGTTCCACTCACCAGACAGCCTAGCCTAATTGGTGCACTACAAACATATGAGAGATGTTGTTAATGAGTGTGGGAGGCATTTCGGAGTATGTCATTTGAGTTCATTCTCTGGTCTCCATGTATGATTGCCCATACACACACAGCCATGTACACAAAAGCATGCACCCACATGCTTTTCATGTATGTGAATGAAATTTAACCCATTAGTTATTATTACCAAATAAACTTCAAAGGAGAGTTGACTGCCAGGTAGAGTTTAGAAGCTGTAATTTCAGAGTCTTGCAGGTAGGAAATTACGGATAAACCTATACATATGCATATATACATACACACACACAAGCACCACATTAAAAATAATAAAAATAAAAAACTTCTTACCTACTAGACCAGCTCTTTTTCTACCATTGCTTCCTAGCTTCAGTTTTCAGGTAAGACTGAAGCCCAGGACTTTAAATGGCTCCCCAGGGTAATTCCCAGTGTGCAGAGTCAGCAACCATAGCACTCGGCTTTATAACTCAAGTCACTGATATTCCAGAGTCTTCCAGTCTTTCCTCGTTCTAAAGGAAGTATTTTATGAACTCAGAATAGCTTGCTTAAATAACTACGGAAAGCAGGAAAGTAGGATTTCTTCCAGGCTAGTCTTAAGAGCCAAGAACGCTGTACATTTAGGCACAAAAGTCTGCTAACACACCTTTTCTGTTCCTGCAATCCTCAGGCCAGTTCTTTGAGATGAAGTGCTTATTAGCTGCTGAGCTGAAAGGAACTTCAGTGACTATCTCATACAGCCATCTCCTGTTACCAATGAGAAAACCAAGACCCAAAGGAGAAAGTGAACTGTATATAAGTGAGAGCTGTCTTTTTTTGGTGAGGGGGGGGCACACGGGACACGGGCATGCCAAAGACAAAACTGCTTTTCATGTATGTGAATGAAATTTAACCCATTAGTTATTATTACCAAATAAACTTCAAAGGAGAGTTGACTGCCAGGTAGAGTTTAGAAGCTGTAATTTCAGAGTCTTGCAGGTAGGAAATTAGGGATGAAAAGTAAAGCAGAGAAATAAGGGGAGGGGGAGGGGGAAAAAAAACAGGATTTTTTATTTTTCTACCTTGTGTCCACAACAGAAAACCCAAGTTTTCCTGGGCACTGAATAAATTTGCAGTTCAGTTTCCCCTGACATACCACTAAAGCATATGTCTCCCAGGAGAGGGTTAATTGCATCATCCCCCCACCACCTGGCCTACCTGCCACCACACTGAACATTAGTGCTTTAATGTATCACCACTCCCTTTGTCAAAGACATTATCTCCCCCCCTTCTCATCTCTCCTCTATCAATACAATTTGACCAAGTTCCATGGAAAATTTATTCCACCTATCTATGCTCTCTTTTCCTTAATAAGTGAGGTTAAATAGAATGATCCATAGCATTGCCCAGGTTCTAGAACAGTGTAAAAATCCTAGATAGCTAAGACCCCAGATCGTCTCTGTCAAGAGCAATCAGGTTACTTATTTCATGAGTAAACAGCTTCAATGACCAATGTACCTCTCCTACTTTTTACTCCATTTCTGAGCCAAGATCACAGAAAATTAATTCCCTCCTAAATTGCAGCTCACCCCAAGAATCTGGAGATGCGGCTTTGGCTTGATTCCCCACCTCAGCCACAGAGTTGCTGGGTACTTGAAGACAGGACCTCTACTATCCTTACAGTGCCCTGGGTGAGTCTGTCCACAGAGGACCCAGACACCAGCAGTTTACGCCTGTGTTTCACTTTTTGCTCCCTCCTGCCCTTGCCGATGCCTTTGTGTGCCTGGTTACCCTTGACTGGGGCCTTGTATCCTGTCTTCATCATCCCACAAAGTGAGCAAACACACAGCTCTGCGGTTTGAAAAGGCTCAAGACTCCCTGAACTATTCAATGTACTCAGCCGCTCTATTTTTGGTTACTCTGTTTGCTTTCTTTTCAGAAGAGCCTAATTCCGGTCTTCATCTTAGGCATCCTACGACAGACACAGTACTCTACACTGGCACCTGCTCCCCGAGTGCCTCCTTGTCATCCGGACAGAGTCATATGTGGAGTGGAGGAAAGAGGACCAGTATGGCGATATTCTAATTGGCCAAGCAGGCTTGAGCACCGCCAGCCACATTTCTGGAGTTTGTAGACACAAGTGACAAGCACCCTACGTGCTTCAGTATTCAAGAGCACATACACTCCCACCAGCTTCTATATACCAAAAACCCAACTTCCTGTAAACAGAGACAAGCCCAGGCATTTGCCTGGACTGTTCATCGTATCCTGGTTTACTTTGAGGTAGCTGTGTCTCTAACAGACCCATTAAAAAATAAGTTCCATTCATGTGTCATCCACCAGGGAAAAACTTCCTGACAATCACTGAGGAAATGAAAATTATGAGGCCAGATCAAACAAGGGATTCAGAATTTTTTTTTAAAAAAAAAAAAGCAGGTTTTAAAGTGGTTGTCAAAAAAAGACTATGAAATAGTTATTGATGCAAGTGTGTGAGCTTGCTCACTAATAAATGTGCACACACATGTTGCAGCCCTTCAGATACAAGGCCAGTGATGGGAAAAGGGCTTAATATTGATATCTTCAGGATTAAAAAAAAAAATCTCATAAGCATATGCAGGTACATACGATAGAATCTGTTGTTTATTTCTTTTTTTAATATAGATTTCTTGATTAGACAGTTGCTACCAGGATGGATAGATACATCAGTGACACAAAGCTTCAGGGTGACAGCTCACCAAGACACATTGGGGTTTTTTTGTATTAGAAAGAAAAAGACATAAAAATTAATCTGGAATCAAGGTCTCTCTGTCCTTCAGTGTGCCATACCCCTGCTACTGTTGAAATAGGAAGGAAATGGGCACCAAAGGGTATCTGACCACACTTTACGATCACCTGGTGGTGGTGGCAGGGACCTCAACAGTTTTAGCATTCAATTATTTCCAGGTGACTGCAGCTGTTCTAACTGCCATTCAGCAAGGGCTAGAGGACAAGCATCTTACCGGAGAAGGATGGAGGTGCAGGCTGATGAAGACCAGGCACAGGAGTAGCCCCACTCCCTGAATCCCAGAGACCACCATCGATAGCGTCTTCCACTTGAACCTTGGCCTTGATCCGTTTTCCAGATTCTCCTCCAGGGGTTGAACCCTTTCCCCTTCCATCTTCACAGTCTGGGTGCAGAGATGATGCAGATGTGGCAAAGGGGAACCTGGGGAAGGCTGGTCCTCACCACAAGGAAGACAAGGGCAAAGCCAGGCCTGTGGGTTAGAAGATAGACAAAGGTCCCAGAACCTGAGACAACAGGCAATTGAAGGAGTGGGGCAGACTCTCTCAGTTTTAACTCTGCAGATTTTGCAGGCGGGGGAACTTCTATGTGACTAATCTGAATTTCCCCTTTACTTTCTTTCTTTTTTTTTTCCCTCTGGGCTAACAGGGAGTTGTTTTTGTGGCATTCCAGTTATGAATTGAGTGACTTCGAAATGACAGTCACAAACATGTGCTGTTAAGTTTTTTATTGCACCCGTAAAGATAGATAAAGATCATCTTTTTTTATCTTTTTTTTTTAGCACCTCACTTATCAATCCCTCAAGATGTCTTAAACCACAGAAGAGATTTGAGGAAAATGCTGCTCTGATATCCTTGTCTCTCTTATGCAATTAATCTCCAGGCCCATTTTACAGATTCAGAAACAAAACACATGCAGCTTGTTCCTGACATGCAAAGGAAAAAAAGAGAAAAACAGGACAGTGGATTCTGCAGATAGGCATAAAGGTGAGGTCTTATAGTCACATAACACATTGCATTAAACCAAATAAATTAGTATTTATTGAGCAACTGCTTTGAGTCAAATGCTGTGTTAAATGTCCTTGCAAGCATCGTATTTATTCATTTCAGCAAAACTCAATAGACACATAATTGATTTTCTTAACATCAGAAAAGAAGCAGAAGAAAATCCTGCCCCCCTTTTTTATATTTCCCACACACATAATTTCTGCATGAGTAATTCAAGTAACCTTTGAGCGTTCTATTTTCTTTGAAGTGTTGGCTGGACTCAGAGCCTGCTAAGTAAAGATATCTTCCCAGGGCTGGAGAGATGACCCACTGGTTAAGAGCACCGGCTGCTCTCCCTGAGGACTGGGGTTCAACAAATTGCTCTAACATGGTAGCTCACAAGCTGTCTGTAATTCTCCTTCTAAAGGATCTAATGCCCTTCTCTGACCTTTGTGGGCACCAGCCATGCAAGTGATGTACATACATGCAGGCAGAACATCCATATATTTTTTTAAAAAATCAAAAACAAAAGGCTTTACAAATATATCCTTCCAATAGACATTGATTACCCTTTCTCACCGACATGCACAATGAAATTAAATAAATGTGAGATAATAATGTCATGTCCAAAATGGCTAACTATTTATTGAGTATGTGATATGAAGTCAATAAGATAGCATAGGGATGCTCAACATAATTCTCTCTCTCTTTTATGGGAACGTAGGTCTCATGGTTTCTCATGGAGCCTTCAACAGATATTTAAAGAAAGAAGTAAGAGAAAAATATTCTGAAACTAGAAATATGAGAAGGTACATGATACTTCAAATTTTTCGCAATTTAAAAAAAATCATGGATGTGAGGTATAGTCAAGAGAAAAACAAGTTGCAGGAAATGGAAAGTAGCTTGCCATAATATTCAACAATTTAAATAATTTGATGCCTTCATTGTAATAATGAGGCTTTGCCTTTGAAGAACATGCTGGGAGCTAAGGCATGCATCAGGGTTTGAAAGCCAGAAGTAGGACTCAGGTCCTGCATAAGCTACTCTGCCGCAAAGATTACCTCAGCAAAGTGTGAGCAAGGCACAGGGTGTGAAGACAAAAGGTGAAAGAAAAATCAGTGTTTAACTCCTGCCATAACCAGTAACATTTTACTCATCTGTTTTCAAAAAATGACTGAAAGAGACGATTGGGGGGGGGGGGGGGAAGCCCGGAAAAAAAATAAGTGTTTAACTCCTGCCATAACCAGTAACATTTTACTCATCTGTTTTCAAAAAATGACTGAAAGAGACGATGGGGGGGGGGGCGCGAAGCCCTGAACTCTAATAGAAACTAGACACAGACTGTAGAAAATGCATTCACGTTGAAAATCACAAGGAATACTGATTTTCAGTTAGGGGCGTGTGTGTGTGTGTGTGTGTGTGTGTGTGTGTGTATCCAGATATTTCCATGTGGGGCATGTGCATGTGGGGGGCATGTGTTTGTGTGTAGAGGCATGTCTATGTGTGTGGAGACATGTGTGGGTGGGGAGGCACTGCATGTGTGTACATGTAGAGACTGAAAGTCGATGGACATTAGGTGTCTTCTTCAGTTGCTCTCCAACTTAGTTTTTGAGGAAAGGTCTCTGACTGAGCCAGGAGCTTGCTTTTTGACTAGACTCGCAATCATGCAAGTGGCCTCCTGTTTCAGCTTCCATAGCTCTGGGGCTCTGAGCATGCTCCACTGCAGCCAACTTTGACATGGATGCTAGGCATCAAATTCAGAACCCCAGGTTTGCATAGCAAGTACGTTACTGACCAAACCATTTCCCCCAAGTCTTGGGAGTATTTTAAATGACTACAGAAAGGACAAAAAGTAAATAAATCACAAACATGTACGAACACAAACCTGTGCATGATGCATGTAGTTTCCCTTACCACAGCATCATGCCCCTCTGAAGAAACATTAACAATCCTTTTTTCTTGTATACAGTGGAAACTGTAAAGCTGTTTGGTATGTGGGGCCCTGAGACTGCACAGTCATGCTCATGCTATGAGTCTCACTCTTGACTTCCTCCTGCTATGCTCTGCCTCCTGTCATCTTTATTGAAATTTAAGTGGTATCTTACACTTGTTTCTTCCTTCTCAACCATATTCTCTTGGCTTCTTCACAACCTTTGTGAAAGGAAAAACATACAAAAATGTACACACACACACATAGAGAGAGGGGGGGAGGGAGAGGGAGAGGGGGAATTAGAAAACAAGCTGGACCTTCCGGATGAGATCTTTTGATAGACTATGTGAGGGTCTCAAAACCATCATTGGGCTGCTCTAGCATCTGAACACCACTGATTAAAAAGCACTGTCAATTACATCACTGGTGGCATTTTAGTCCTAGGCAGATGGATGGGGATCTCCATCTTGAAAATGCTTTTTAATAAAATATGTCGAACTATTAGTAAAAAAACTGGAGTGAATTATTAACTCTGTGGGCAGTATGTTTCAAAACATCTTACACAAATAAATGTGTCTGCCAGAGTAAGAGTAAACTAGTTTTGAATGATAACCTAGAAAGTAAAATAAACCAAAGTGATTACTTCTCATAGGCATTAACCTTCTATAGGAAGAACCAAAGCTATAGAGAAGTAATGGAAAATAAAAATACTTCAAAAGCTGACAGAACATCTCATGTTCAGAAAGTGGCAAAACTTTTGGGGGCTTTTTTTTGGTTTGGGGATTTTGTTGTTGTTTTGGGGTTTTTGGTATTTGGGGCTTTTTTGTTTGTTTGTTTGTCCATTTGAAATATCTATGTATGTCATCATTTTCCACTCAGTAAGCCTGGGCCAGGTGCCTTAATCCTGGTGCTGGGGAAAACATATGACTAAAACACATCCTCATGAACAGCCACAGATAGGAAGATAGGATGGCCATAGCCTGGAAGATGCTGGAGCTGAGGTATTAACAAAAGGAGGAAGGATGTAGCGGGAGGGTGCCGTTCTACACTGAAATTTAAAAGGGGGTAGCTTCCATAAGATGAGTTGGGTAAATCTTAGAGGAACCAGAAGTCTGGTCTTCTAAGGAAGTAGGCTCAGACAGTGGGACATAAGCAGCCAGTGCTCTCTGGGTAAAGCTTGCTTGTGCCTTATACACTCATGGAACTGCAGCTGGAGCAGTGGATGGCAGGTGAGTGCCTGGGACGTTTTCCTGAAATGAATTTTGTTACAAGTCAAGGACTTTCAAATGTTCCTTGAAAGAGTTAAGGAAACCCTTACAGGGTTATGTAAAAGATGATGTGAATTATATTTTAGACTATTTTTTATAAGGACTCTGGATAAGTGCAATGCAAATGATGGGGTAGGATTAAATGTCTCCCACTTGGGAAACTTTTCTAGGGTGTTCTGTGCTAACCAAAAATGTAAGCATGCTCTATATTATCACCTCTGTTTCAGCTCTGTTACAGTTCAGTTTTGTTACTTTCTCAACATGAGATGTTCTGTTGGCTTTTGAAGTATTTTTATTTTCCATTACTTCTCTATAGCCCTTGCCTTTATCTTCCTACAATGGTATATCCTCCTTCCCAAATACTAAAGGGCTACACCCATGCAGTTTAATGCTAATTCATGATCTAGAGAGGGTGCCTTGTTCCAATTCATACAATTCTTTAAGTGAGAAGTAGTGTAATTATAAACCAAAAGTAAAGAGACTAGCGAATGCAGAGATGATCACAGTAAATTCATGTAAAAAATACTTGGCACATTCACAAGGAGTTCTAATGAAGTGTCTTGGGTGATTGAGATCCATGGGAAGTGATGGAGTCAAATGCATTTTCAAATACTAGGTTTGCCCTAGGTATTTTCAACCTGCTGTGGATCCTGATGTCCTGGTTTGGCTACTCAGGGAACTCTGAGTCTTAGAATTAGCATTGGCTTTAATTTACTCTTGATCAGTCAAACTTGGCAGAGCTCTCGGTCCCCAAAATGTGGCTCCTAGGCTCATGCTGTCTTACTCTTTCTATCCCTACTGCTTTTGACCCAAATCTATTCCTTCTCAGTTGGACTCCTAAATTAAACTTTCAATCCTTCTCTCTATTTCCATTCTCATTGACTCCCAAAACATTTGTTTCTTATGTTCAGTGAGATAATAATCATATGAAGAGTTGCTGTTCTCTGAGTTGGGAGATGACTCAACAGATAACTGCCAAGCCTAATGACCTGAGTTCAAATACATGTGAACTCACACACACAAACACACACACACACACACACACACACACACACACACATACTTAAAAACAAAAGAGCTGAAATTCTCTACTTCCACATTTTGTCTTTCTAGGTTTCCTCTCCAAACTTACCTCCCTCTTTTTCTGACTGTTTCTGATATCCAGTCTGCCTCAGATACGTTTATGTTGCATCTCTCACCATCAAAACCCTACACACTTCCCCAAAAAGGATTCCTTGTGAGGTAGGGGCCTTGAAAAATAAGCTAAACAAAAGCCTTAGATGTGGCTGGTGAGATAGCTCAGCAATTAAGAGTGCTTCCTCTTCTTCCGGATGACTCAAGCTCACCCAGTGACTCACAATGCTTGTAACTCCAGCTCCAAGAATTCCAACACTCTCTTCTGGCCTCTTAGAGCACATACAC